TACATAATAACCATTAATATATGCCTGAATAATAAGACATATAAACGTTAATTTCAATAGTTTATTAATCATTTACTATCTCATTCTGAATGTGTGTCTGTGTGTGTGTGTGTGTGTGTGTGTGTGTGTGTGTGTGCTTCATGCCATCATTTGTCCACTTCTGGACAGTCGTGTATCCGAGCGTGATGCTGCAGTCCCATTGGACATATTTAAGTAGACACAGATGTGCCTGTGCTCCTGTTCTAGTGTAAAACTACTGCAATATATGACATTTTCAATATCTATGTGCTCTTGTTTAACAAGAGAGATGTGTTAATGTGCAGCCAAAAAAACTAAATCTAAACAAAGCAGTTATTAAGTTATACGTAACACTGGATAGTTTTAACTAAACTAATGTTAAATATAATTGAACATTCTTTAATTAAGATGATTAAGATGTCGCCTCACAGTAAGAAGGTCGCTGGTTCAAGCCTCGGCTCAGTTGGTGTTTCTGTGTGGAGTTTGCATGTTCTCCCTGTGTTGGTGTGGGTTTCCTCCGGGTGCTCTGGTTTCCCCCACAGTCCAAACACATGCGCTATAGGGGAATTGGGTAGACTAAATTGTCTGTAGTGTATGAGTGTGTGTGTGTGGATGTTTCCCAGAGATGGGTTGCAGCTGGAAGGGCATCCGCTGCGTAAAAACTTGCTGGATAAGTTGGCGGTTCATTCCGCTGTGGTGACCCCGAATTAATAAAGGGACTAAGCCGACAAGAAAACGAATGAATGAAGATGACTGTAGATCCACATTCAGCAGTAATGATATAGTCTTAAATCTCTGTATCACATTATCTTGGATGAAGTTTTGAGTTTGTTTGTTTTTTTTGGCTTGTTACACTATTTCAGTCAGAATGAGTTTAGGACTTTCTTTTTCTTCCATTCACCCCCGCCTTCTCACGTGAAATGGACTATGCCANAATCCGGGAAGAACGATCGCTAGAATATAGCTCAGTGGTGGTTGTTGATAGTTT